GAGCGCGACGCTAACAAATACGGTACTGTCAACATTGGACGAAAATACCATGGACAGTTTATTTATAGATTAGCTAATGTTTACGTTATTATCTTCATTAGTAACTTGTATAAGCATATTTATAACATCGATATGATCAAACTAATTTTAAGCCAATGGTTCCCAAAATAACAATAATGTGAGCGAAATGCTCATAGCGTCACCAACGACGGGTTAACAATGATTTTTTTTTTTTTACCTCCGATGAGTTCGGAGATTTTTTACGCTTTCAATATCTTGTTAGTAACTCGTTCTACGTCAAGTTCATCAAAAATTATCATGGTATTAAATAATAAACCGAAACACGGAAAAGTAATTAAAAAATGCATTTTTGCTCTTTCTATTCATTAACCATGGATTCGTTTAACGGAATCACAATAACTATCTTCATTGTCTCAAATATTATCGCAACCAATATATATTCATGGGACACTCCGTGTAAGTAATTAAGAGACGTAGCACTGCATTTTCCAGGGCTATAAATCGGAACTTAATAATAAACCTCTAATTGTAATATGAAAAAATAGAGAATTATTTTTATGATGTATTTATAATAATGATCAATTCCGCGTTTAAATACAGTGCTAAAGGCTTATATAGCATAACATTATTAAGTATCCTACGAAATATTAAGTTTTAAAACGCTTTTAAAAGTTTGTGTCAAGTGACGTTTAATGTCCATCGGTCATGCCATGATTACGCGATGACACGATTTATCGACAAAAAATTTTTAATTTTCATCTTGTTCCACATAATCACGTTATTCTTAATTCATAATCACGTTAATCTATTATTTTTCAATTATTTTTGGTGATAATAATTGTACTTTTAGAGAAACTTAATTATATTTAAACATATCTATTTTAATATTTATTTATTTTTTTTACCAATGAATATCCAAATAACGAAAACATAATGTTTGTAAAATTTTAATCATTGTAGTCAGTGTTGGGAAAAATAACCAATATTTTTATCTAGATTAAAGATTAATATAATGACTAAAAATTTATATAAGATAAAGATAAAAGAGAATCTTTCAGTTATCTAGATGAAATAAAAAGATAAAAGATAAAAGAGAATTATTTAAAATAACATTTAAGGTCTGGCTCTTGGCTATATTTTTAAAATAACTCTTTTATTTAATACCTTAAGGTTTGATGGAATATTCTTTTTATTCTTAAAAGTAAATAGGTTAATAAATGATTAACAGATGTAGATTAATTTAAATTATTATTTATTATACATACCTATATTTTAATAAATGTACAAGTAGTGATTACTAAGTGGTCTTACATTATTCATAATTTTTTAACTAAATTTATTTTGCTTATAAAAGTTAACATTAAGTTGTATGAAGATGATATACTAATATATAAATATATAACATTTGGTCGTACTAGAATTTGTATTCAAATATTTTTTATTGTAATAATTTAAATTTTAAAATACATATGAATGTCACAGTTCACATATTTCAATTATTATTGTATGACAAATTATGAAAAACGACTAAATAAAATAATAAAATCTTAAGAACCACTTTGCTTGATTTAAAATCTATTATCTATCAACAGAAAAAACGCAAAAAGATAAGTATAAGATAAAGATATTCTGGATTTATCTAGATAAAAGATGAAAGATAATTTGGACGTTATTTAGATTATCTTTTGGATAATTTTATCTAGATAGTTTCAACACTGATTGTAGTTAATTTAGTGGATACTATGAATCAACGCAAAGTTTTTACAAATTTAAAATTTTTCATGCTATCAAATTCATGAGCTACAATAAGATTTCACATTTTAAATATTTTAAGATGATAATAATACATGGAGTTGCGCAATGCCCACAGAGTTAATATTGTATTATAGCTAAAGATGAAAAATGTTTTAAAAGTCAAATTTGTGTAGCTTATTATTTTTATGTATAGAATAAACACTTGATAAAATGAAAATAGTCTAGTCATGGTCACTGTAAAATTATTTATGCTTAATTATTACGATATCAACGGATATCGGATATGACAACGTCACCATATATTATGCTGAATCGTGTTGTAAATTAGGTTTAATATGCTAAATGGTACAATGAAGATATGTTCAATCGTATTGCAACAATTTGTAAATAATTGAATCATACTAATTTTTCATATACTTTTTTTATGGTAGATTAATTTAAATTTAGGTAATTACGAGTACCTATTAGAACAATGAAAACGTACGCTTCATTAAAACTAACTTTTGGTGATGTACAAATTCAATTTCTATTTTTGAAAGTAAAAAATTTAGTAGGTACTTCAATTTTATAGCTTGACGTTTATCGAATGAAAAATAATATTCAATTAGTAATTGGAAAAAGAGAAAAGCACATCGATTTTTATAATAAAATTTCCTATTAATTTGTTATTTTGTGTTATTAGAAATTTACTGTTCAAAACCAATTTTAACAATATAATGTCTTACTTTTGGCACGTAACAGTACAACAGTTTGTGTCGATTGTCAACGAGTATATGATCCAAGAGCACCGTGTCGTTAATTGCTTGTCGATAGTCATCATCAGCTTTTGGTAATTTGAATAAGTGGCACATTTGCGACGCTTGTTCTTGTCTTTCTAAATATATTAGTCTTTCCAAAATCGATTGGCTATCGTAATTTTCTTTCGCAAAATCATCTAGAGAACAGAAAAATAATAAATTATTTATAAGTTAGGTTTCATAATAAATTTCGATAGTGTAATCGATTTTAATGAAAATAAATGTTCTATAATAATTTGAACAGGTCTTGTAGTATGATCAAAGTCGCATCTAATGTTTGGGTACATTATGTTGAAAAAATATTTAGGAATATTTTACTTTTTTCATTTATACGTTAAATAAGGATAGTATTTTAAACATCAAAAATATCAAGTGTTATGTTTTGAATAGTATACCATTAGAAAATGAGTAGTGAGAATATTTTTAATAAATTTCTTTTGACAAATGGTTGTCACTTGTGATAAATAAAACCATAGAAATGGTACACTTTTATGGCTAACATACAACATAACATAATATAACATATCTACTATAATATTATGATAAAACCACTAAATAATACTTATTATATTTTAATATTTGGCAGCTGCCATCTACAACCAGAAGACGCACGTACAACGAACACACTTTTAGAAATCAATCATATTTTTATAAATCTAATGTAGTTTCTACAACTACAATTGTTGTTAAAAATCCTGACTCATCCGCAATTTTTTGGGTTAACCCAGTAGACACCGGATGAAGTTCCCCTTGCTCAGGACGTTTATAAAACATTTCTAATCATACGCACACAAAGTGCAACAATACAGGTGTAGATAAAGCGATAGCCACACGACTAATGTTACGTTGACATACTTTTCACCTATTCATATTTATGTTTAACACAAGTAAATAAATTTCTTATACCTAATTGAACATATCTACCTATTTTATTGTCAAGAAATAAATATATATTAACCCAATAATAAATTAGAATAGATTTAATACTTATATATATTTAATTTGTACCAAAATTCCTGTGCATTTATTTATATTACTTATAGTGGTCAATTATAGATTATATTAGGTACCTAAATAATACAATGAAACTTATACGAGGAATCACTAGTGATTTTTAATATTATTAAATATATGAATGATAAAATGGTCATAAAGACTATGGTTGATCGAATAAATAGATGACGTTCATAATATAATTCTTAAACTATTTGAGAAAATAACGAACAATTAGAAAATATCTCAGTGAATTTTCTACTATTATTTAAAAGACAGTATAATTTTAGTTATTATATTCAGTTAAATCAAGTTAAAGTCCAACAATATGTAATCGTATATTTTTATGTTTTTTTTTTTTAATGCTATTGTTTAAATAATAAAATATTTATTGTTTTAAAATAAGGAAAACAGTTTTTATTATATTTTATTACACTTTTATTATGCGTTATTTTTATAGATCGTTAACTAATCACAACTTAAAAAATAAATAATTTTTTTATTACCTTCAATCTTTTTCAGTTTTTTTTTTTAAGTTCCATTTAAAATAATTCCATTTAAAAAATGTCTAAATAATTTATTTTTATTTATAAAATTATAACTATAATATAGTTACTTATTTTAACATGCTTAATATATATTTAATAATAATTAAAAAAATGATTCATCACTTATAGTAATATCATAGTTCAGTCATAATAGTAGTTGGTTTTTGGTTATGCATAATATTTCTTAATATGATAAATTAAAAATTGATACACATATAAATATAAAATAATTAACGTATTTAACAAACTGTTTACAAAAAAGCTTAAGTATTGATTGTAAATTTAACATTAATTTTTAAGTCAAACATTTTGAATATCTTTATATTTGTAAATTATAGTATAACGTACATGAATTGTCGATTTTCAACATTTACTGAGTTTTTAGTGAATAATAGTTATTTATAATAATATCGTCATAGTTATAATTAAAAAAAAATTGATTTGAAAAATACTATTTGGCCTAAAGGGTAAACATTTATCTTATTATAAAATTTAAATTAGTAATTTTCCCTAAATTTTTTTTTTCTAATGTAAACTGTATTTACAAAGCAAATAAAAAATTAATCTACATTTTTTTTTAATCAAAATATGAAAAATAATCAGCTATAAGCAAATGCCTATTCATTGATTATGATTTTTAATCATAGTGAAAAAATCTATTAAAAATGTATGAATTTAACACTACTTATAGACTTCATATAATTTATATTCATTTTATAACGAATAACCAAGATATTTTGTATAAATTCAATCATTGTGGAAAATTACATAAAATTATAATAACATTTAAAAGCAAAGAAATAAAAATTTCTTTCCGAAGACTATTAAAAATATATAGTTGTAGTTTTTTACGTATATCGTTTTTTTACAATTACAATTTAAAATTAAACACATTTGATGTAAAATAAAATCATACATGCTATGATACACTATTTATAAAATAAGTTATTTTTACGCATATCTTATATTACAATTCTAAAATAAAATATAAAAGTAATTTAAATAAAAATCATCTAAGTATATTTTTATAAGCTAAATTTCATTAAATATTAAATATTTTACTAATGTACTTACGAGTCTTAAAAATGTTAATATCTAAGTGCTCTGAGTAGAATAAAATGCTCGCCGAACAAATTAAAATCAAACAAAATATCACAATTTTGAATATCATAATTTTTTGCAGTCTCGAAATTTTTTGTATCGTAGCCAAAGAGTCATATTTTTCTATAAATTAATATTATACGTACTTATTACATTACTTCAATTTACACATTTGTCTCTGAAAAAGGAACCAATAAATGAATAGTTAAACAGTTTAAAGGTAAAAGAGAAGAGGAAGTCGTGCGTTTTTCGCCACATAACTGAACATTTCTTCAACTATTTCAGTAGGTCAACAATCTATAGCGCTACTGACCTTGGCTTTAAGAAGGAGTATATGCAGAGTCAGTAGGTACCACTTCCAACAGAACTGGTTTTCTTCCGTCAATAATTATACTTGTTCCTACTAAAGGAAAAAATAAAATACTGATCTTAAAACTAATGATAACGAATGTATTATAGCAATGTATTACTCGCAGTCAGAGGTATATAATCTTGATTTTAATAACATCATAAAATATTTTATTTAAGTATACTTACATATAAGGTATTTTATAACCCAGGTGTACATGGAGGTTTTTCTACCAAGGCATAATTAGGTCAAGTCTTACAAACTTATAATTTGATTCCATTTAAATAAAAAAATATAAAATTATAAAATTAAGTATATGTAATCTCGGCATAATTTTTTAAATTTATTGAAATTCAAAAACGGTATGGTTTTTAAATCTAATTAAAATAAATCAATTAATTTATATATAATATTGATTTTAACGTCATACTATAAAACCAATTGTAGTGTTGTTTACTTAGCTTAGTGTAATATTGATCATTTCAAAGTGTAAAATCTTATTTTAATACAAATGTATCAACAAAAAAAAATAAACATTACTAGTAACTAGATGATAGTCAAACCATTTTAGTGACAATATTTATGATTATATTTTACTTATTAAACAGTATAAATTAGTTTAAATAAATATTTTGTTGTTCTTTTAATATCAATTTTATAAAATTAACTAGGTATTAGTTGTTACAATAATAAAGTACATATCGTATCTTATTCAGTGCATTTTATAAGGAATTTTCACTGGGCGACAAAAAAATGTTTTTCTCAAAATAGTCAATGTAATACCATAGTATGATTATAGAATTACACGTTTGTTTCGAATTACTTCGCCCATCTTTCAAAATATTGTCGATCACTGGGCGACATTTGTGTCGCCTAGTTAATTAGTTAAATAATGCACTGATCTTATTAACAAAACACTGTAGAAAACAAAATAAAGTTATACCTATAGGTAATATTTTTTTCATTGTTAAAGTAGGTACTCTTGTACTCTAAAATCAATGTTTGGATCGATCATTTAAAAATTTAACTCGTTCAGTTTCACGTTCATGTTCAAGTTCTATGAAAAAAATAATGCGTTCATTAAGCCGTTAATTTAAATTTTTTTATTTTATATTTATGAATAGTACATAAATGGGAAAACTTAAAAAAATGTATTAGGTATATTTTACTTTATGTTTAAAATTTATACTTGGATATATTATTATTAGTGATGGGTCGAACTGTTCAAATCTTGAACCGAACCGAACCGAACCGAACCCTTGATGTTCGGTTCGGTTCGAAATTCGAACTCGGCATAAAAGAAATCGAACCGAACTATCAAGCATCTTTTACTGTTCGAAAATCGAACTTGAAAATATCTGTCGAACCAGACTTACTGGCCACGATAGTTCGAAAAACAAATATTTGTACAATTCTTCAAAAGTTATTTGTGAAAAATAAAAATTGATAGTAATTATTTAGAAATAATTAGACTATTGGCGATAGAAAGTGATAATCTGTAGTGGGCACGTTATGCATTATTTATAATGATGTTATTTTTCCAGTCGTCTGTTACACATTCACCCTCCGCCGACCAAAACATTTATAAGTTGTTTATCGCTAATAGAGACAGTGTATCTACATTTATAATAAAGGCTATTTTTGTTTTTATTATATTTATTGTAGAAGTTAAAATCTATTTTGGGTAAATCCATGGTAATATTCCAATCCGCGACTGCGCTGTTAATAAAAACATGTTTACAACTTACGTCTTATATTATAAATTCTACTAATCATTCTATATTTGTGAATTATAGTTATTATTACAATTTTTTTATATATTATTAAAATGTACTGATTGTATTGTCATATTACACTCAATACTCAATAATCAAATAATATTTTATAAGCTACAAGACAACATGAGAGAGCACAATACTGGTTTTGAAAAATAATAATAAATTATCTAAAATTTAAATGCGTTGTAAATAATACAATTACTTAGACTTAAAAGTTAAAATGAAGAATAGGTTATACGAAAACTTAAAATACAATAGTAATTAATAATTATGGTTCATTTAATTTGTAGGTAGGTACAATGTACATGATAAAAAGTATTGAGTTCGAATTCAAGTTCGACTTAAAATCATAACAGATTTGGTAGAAAATATGAAGGTTCGGTTCAGTTCGAGTTCGAAAAAATAATTTAAAATTCGGTTCAATTTCGGTTCGATTTAAAAAATCAGAGTTCGACCCATCACCAATTATTATCAATATTTATTATTTATACGAATATTCTTGAAATGGTAAATAAATTTGAACGCCCTAAAATCGTTCAAATTCATTTAAAATATAAACGTCGCTCGCGTTTACATTATATTTGAAAAAAGTGAGTGACGTTCGTGGGTGGTTCACAAAACATGAACGCGTGAAACATGCATTTGGCGGCAATAATATTCGGCTATCAGTACCATTATCAGCTACGGTAACCGGGGCACCGAGGTTGTCGATGTTTCGCGCAGACACATAAAACCAGGGTCGTTCAGAGGGGGGGGGGGGCAACGGGATAATTTTTCCCCTGGCCCCATTGTTGGAATATTTTTTAGGAGGCCCCCATAAAGTTTTGATGTATAGTAATTAATAATAAAGCCTCTATTACACTGAGCAATTTTACACGCTGCATGTCGCGCGCGTGTGAGCGTTTAGCGACTTGTTTGATTACATTGAACGATTAAATAATACATAATATAAATAATATTCAATTCTATTATGTAAGTATGTAATGCAGTACATGAATTTAAATGAACTTGATTAGTTAAGGTTTGGAAAAATACGTTTGCGAGAATTTTGTTACTCTCAGTGAGTATTTTGTTTATCAAATATTATTATTATGGACGAAGGGCCCCCAAATTAATTTTCTCCTGGCCCCGAAAAACCTTGAGACAGCTCTGCATAAAACGACTAGATAGCCGACTTCCTATACAACATTATGGGAGGACATGAAGCATGCCGGTCATATGCAAAGCTGGCAATGTTTATACATTTTGCAATGATAACGCACATTGATGATGTGAATACGTAATATTAAAATAATAAATAGGTAAATAAATAACAATATGTCTGTGTGTGGATTATGAAAATGTACAATAAATATCCCGGTATACAACATGTTATGTGCGACAATGGTTGTAAACGAAGTACAATAATGTACGAATAATGCGGTTTGACAAATATTTTTTATTATTTTTTTTTAATACTTGAGATGAGTCATAAGAAACGCAAGAAAAGTAGCTTATAGTGTACGGTTATAAACAAATGTCAAACACTAAGTTTTTATTTAGTACAATAAAAATCATGTTATCTATTAAAACTTATACAGTACACGTATACATTGTTTGTGTTAATATACTAAGCATTAACTTAACAAAAAATGTTTTATAATAAAAAAATAATAAAAAGATATCTTATGAAATATAGGTTATTTATTATTTATCCTTTTAGATTTATTAATAACAAAAAAAAAAAACAAAATGGTTTTAAAATTTTTTTTTAAATGTTGTACTATTCCAATAATTGAAAACAAAAATTAGTAATACTTTTCATCTACATTATACAAGACAAATCTTACCCTATACTACAAACATACATACATACTAAAAACACACTAAAAGCACACTAAAAACATATTTTTTTTTTTAAATATTAAAATCCAAGTTAAAATATTATAATTTATTTGACAATAAAAACATACTTCATTATTTACATAATTATGTATTAGATTACTATAGTGAAAATACAATTTAATAAAACAAATGTATTCATTTTTTTTAGACTGTGAGACCTTAGCATTAGGGAACTTTTAAACAGGAATAAAATATTGCTGGAGCAGTTGCTGCTTGGAACAGTTGTTTTTCGGATTCCATCTAATACCAATAGCATGTGGTAAATCGTATACAACTTTGAAATATAAAACTAAACACAGTTAATAACAGAATAATTACACACCCGTGTATAAATAAATAATAAAAATATATTGTTTACTTACAATCTTCATGCCGTGTACTATGATGGGCATCATTTTAAACTAATTCTAAGTAGCTCGATCTCCTGGTTTCTACTACAGGAGTCTGAATCTCACTTTCACAAACTCTTTTCTATTCATTGTTGGATCCAACAGAGAAATCATCTTCACTCTTAGATTTCGGCTGTTCTTCATCAATTACTTCTTTTTCAACCTCAACTTTTACTGGCGATACTTGTTTAAGTTCTTCAATTAAATTTGAATCTATTCCATTGATAGGATGTAATTTATTTATTTTATTTCTTAAATTCACATCATCAATATTTCTAAAATATTTTAAAAGTGTTTCTCTATGACGTATAATATTTAGTCTCATTTGTTTTCTGCGTTCAATTCTGAAAGACTGTAACAATTTCATTTTGTTGATCGTTACCTACTGAAAAAAAAAAAAAAAAATTAGCACAACAATATAAATAAATAATATACAAACCTAATTGATGCTAATAATTAAGCAGTGAACAATATTTTGGAACAACCGTACTATATATAAAGGATGGGCAACTAGCGGCTTGTGAACTTATTTTACCTAGTCTATTCTACATTTTCAAATAATTTCATAACATTTCAGCATTTATCAGTATTTAATTTTATGACGTTGATTGTAAGATGTAGATATTATATTTTTCTCTTATCTATTACTGAACTCCACTTAAATCTTAATGGGTATAATATAAATCCATATCGGCATAGCTAACATTGCCATAGACATTAGACATTTACTTTATTGTATTAGTTCAGTTGCAAAATTAAATATTTTAAAATAAATGCTAAATGTCAATTTTAATGACCTTTTTTCCAACTTTGCTTTCTTCACTATGGCCCGCCAGATTTTAGAGGAAGTCAAAAGGAAAATTTGCCGCAGGCGGAAATTTTGAGGGGGTGGTAAATTTTTAGAGAAAATGTATACGAATGAATATTTTTTTAAAAGTATTTGTAGCAAAATAATATAAACATCATTATATTCTCACTACCCAGACTTCAAAGTCTAAAGGGTACCATATAAATATATTGGAAACACAAGAATTAGAACTTGAAATAATTATATAGTAATGTAGTGTTATAGATTATATTATAAATCAGAGCATTTCATATAATATAATATTTATATAATATATCATAATATGTAAAGAGTTAACTATACATATTATATGTATAGGTATATACATATATATGGAAGAATAATAATAGATTAATAGATATTTGATCAAATACGGTTGTATTATGTAGGACACGATACAGTCATTAAACTTGATAAAAAAGAGTGTGTGGAAATATTTTTATTCATACTGATATTTTTGCAGGTTGTTTGAATTTTTGTACTATTTTAGTTATTTTTTATTTTTTGATATTTTGTTTTAAAAAATTAAAAATATAGAAGTTTTGATATATTATTTGGGAGTTATCAATGATGCAATTATAATTATATTACAATAATAACACATAACTACAATAGTTTCTACTAAAGTAGTACATTATATTAGGTATATATATATTATACAAGTAATAATTAATATATTCATTTACACATATTTGCATGTAAACATATACAAAAATATGAATTATGTTTTATGGATATAGGTATCTAAATTATATTACATTCATTTAGGTTATAGTAACATTGATTATATTATAACATAATGTAATTTAATTGTAAATCAAAAATATATAATTGTAACCGTACATCAGCTTACATCAATAATGATTAAAACCTAATTAAAATGTTAAGTCGATGAAATATTTGTCAGATAGATTACTTATATATTTATTTATCAATATGCCTAGGGGTGTAAAATTATTTTACCCCTACATATATTGAGCTTTAATTCGCCCCTGGTTATAGTTGTTATATATTAAAGTAAATTAAATATTTAAAATTCACATCATATGTTATGTGCACTGGAAATGATAGTTTCACAATTTCACAATCATAAGTAAAGACTAAAGGCTATACAAAATTTTGAATTGTTAGTAGTTTTTAAAAATTATGATTTATGATAGTGATGGGAACGTCCAAGGACAAGAAAGAGAAAATACTCGACTGATTGATTTAATTGAATGATTTCAATTATTTTGAAATTATTGAGTGATTTTCTTGGTATCAAAATCAATTGTACGTAACCACTAGATTGACCGAGAGGTTTTTTTGAGTAAATTCTTCTCGGTTATCGAAATCACTCGTCAATTTGAGACAATCAAATGTTTACAACCACTATTATCTACTAGTAGATAACCGTGCTCATAATGCACAAGATTATAATCTATAAACCTTTCACAACATACTCATGTGCTATAGCGAAATGTTCTCAATTTATAAATCGAAAGATAAAATTGATAAATGATGATTGATCCGAAAAGAGAATTGAATAATTATCGCATTGAATGAATCAGTAGTTTTATAATACAGTGATATTATATTATTTTACAGTATTAAACTATTAGTAATATAACCTTACCTATCTATATATTATTATGACATAATTATAATTGAACAAGCTTAATCTATAAAAATCGTATTATTTATTATTTAACAATCGACTTTTATATATTATTTCTACATGTTGTTATTATTATAATGGTTTATTTTATTTTAGTAATTAGGTATTGATAAAATAAACCATACGTTATTACCGATATCATGTTGTATTATTTTTATAAAATGTTTTAGATCACTCTTTAAATGAGTAGTTGATGTTGTCCAAATATTATAATGCAATTTATAGCCAACGACTGAGAGAATGACTTCGTAACAATGTGTACGGTACCAGTCAATAGGTGCTAAACTACTAACTAGTAACTACTAAATCGACCGATTGGTTTTTTCGAGAGAATCTCTCGACCGTTAAACTCCCTCGATTACTAACCTCTAGACTGTCGAATTCAATTGATTCTTTCCATTACTAATGTACGATACGAATGTTTTTCGCTATGAGGATGATAGAACTACAGATTATATCCATATAATCTGTGTTAGAACGTAAACATTCGCATATAGCGGTTTTGCTTCAATGATAACATCGAGTTGGTTGTTTTGTACACATGTGGATGTCCGTCGCGGTCGTTATCAACTAGCCGCTCACAGATTGTTGATATCCTTACCAACTGACAATCGTTTTCCGTTTCTTAATATTATTATTATTACTATTACTACTATTTGTTACCGTTGTCGACGATTCCGAGCACTTAGAACGCCGTAAAACTGATCGAACAGGTTGTTTACGTTCGAGACCTGTGCGTCTGTTCGGTGAACACCGTGCGGAATGAATATACGTTAATCGGCGGCGACCGTTCAAACGAATCCATTAATTCCGGTGAGTCAATTGCAATATAACACGATTAAACGTATTTACTGCACCGTTGGTTTTTCAATATTTACAAATCATCAAACACAGGATTTCGTGTGCTCACTATATGCCGCCATGTTCATTAAACAAACGGAGCAAAAACGAACAACTAAATAATAATTAGGTATTAAACGCTTGTTTTGGCATTAAATTAGTTGATTGTTATTTCTATGATTAGTATAAATTATTCAATATTTTTATTGCCCGTGCTCTACTTACAGTAGTGTATTACGTTCAACCTTAAAATTAAACAAGTTTATTGAAAAAAAAAATCAATCAACTATTCATTTCAATTTGTTTTATATTTTTTTTAGCGCTTGAAATTAAAACCAATGACTTGGTCACATACTACAGTGATTGCGCTTATGTAGTGATATATATCAATCTTACTTAATAGATATTGCAGCATAGTATAATTACATGCATAAGCCCATGAGTTAATTATTGTTTTATGATTTTGTACACCACAGGTTAATTAATATTTGCTGATACAATTGGGATATAATTCTTTTAGAGTAGAGCATCAGCAAAATTGTTTAGTCTTTTTATGTTCTCTTGAGTAACGTTTTTTAAATAAAATAAAAATCAACTTATTTCACAAAATATTTTTTGTATTCAATAAGATCATATTATTATTGTTGCATTAAGTTTTTAATTGATAAATTAAACTATTTTAATATGTTAATTTATTGACATTTACAAATTTACTATCTACATTATAGTTTTATATCTAGCCGATTTACAAGGATTAAAAAATATAATCATGCAGAAGTACATGTCAAAATCTGAAGTTCGATGCGCTAGCTTAATGAACAATATATTAAACGAAAACATAGATGTAAATGAAATTTTGGAGAAAATTAAATCATTTGAACCATGTGTAAGTTATATAAATCATATTTGTTTAATAAGTATATTTACTAATTGAATATATTTTTGCATTTATCTGTAGAATGTTCGTCCTGGGGTTGGAAAAATAGAATTTACATTGTATGTCATTAATTTTGTTCACAATAAGACAATAGAGTAAGTAAATTATCTTGATAGTATTTATATGTATCATAAAACTATACAACATTAACTGAACATAGCTATTTATAATTTTCAGGTTTGTGAATCCACCAGTTGGAAATGAAACTCCAACAAATAAAAATTTATTCAATGTACCAGAAGTTGAATCCTCTACAGTAAAAAGAATACTACCACATTCTTCTTCACCAAAAAAAAGTGTGACCAATCAAGAAAAAAAGACTGTTGAAATTCATACACTAACTACAAAATTCAAAAAAAACAAAATTACTGGTATGTTTTTAATTTTTTATATTAATTGATCACTACAAAATGTAAATTTACTTTTAAGTTAAGCTAATTTGCTTATAGTTATACAATATTATTATTTCTTGTTATTGTATTAAAAAATATATCTTGTACATTTTTAAATTCATCATTGTAATAAGTTATGAAAATCATGTTAGCATTGGAGTACAAAGAATCAAATAGATGATTAAATAAATATAATTAAGCGTATGTTTTATATTGATATAATTTAAATTAATTTTTTATCTAGTATATTTATTTTTATTTAAAACTATTTATTGAATGTTTTAAATTAATTAATAACAGTTTCCAAATTCCCTTAAATATTAAAGATAATTTGTTAGTGTTTTGTTTGTCACATGTCACTAGTATTTTGACCTATTTATCAAGTACATTATAATATTTTCTACTGTCTACACTATAATGTATCATGTAAAACAATAATTTAATTACACTAATCATATTTTATTATAAAAGATAATTAGATTTTACTATACTATACTGATCACAATTTAGTAAGATATTTTAAAATTAATTATTCATTAGGAAACTCAATATATTGATGGGTTAATTAATTAGCTGTGTAATAACATGTACTATAATGTATAATATTATTAAGGAGATATTAGAAAATGTATATTATATAACAGATGTAAATTATATTTTTGTACAAATTGAAAATAATAATTATATTAATAATAATATATGAAATGTATGTTTTTTTTAGATACTAACTCGAAAGATAGAAAAAGTTTGGATGTACTGGGAAGTCTTTATGCAGCGGTGATCAAATCTAATATTTTGTGTAATTTATTTCATGAATTAGGTTATGTTTTTACACTACTTACCATTAAGGATTTTGAAATAAAGTTTAGTAATGAGAGTTTTGATTTTAATATTAACTGTTTCAAAACAAATGATGATTGTCAATATTTTGCTTCTAAAACTATACAAGCTTTGGAATCAGTTATAATACATTTGGAAAGACCAATTATTACTCTTATTTTGAAACAAAAAACAATTAGTACATATGTACCAGAATTAAAAAAAACTCTTGAATGTAAATTGGACCAAACTGTAAGTAAATGTAATATGATTAATCAGATATATATATATTAATGAATACTTAGAATATTACATTTCCACATTTACTTTTATTTTTATTTTTTATAAATAGAATTTAAATGATGAGAGTAAGATTACCAATTCAAGTATATCCAAAGATATGGTGAAATTTGATGAAGAATTTGATGCCCGAGATTGTTTTCCTACAATGCAAATGTTCCATGGCTTCAAATCTCAAAGAGATGCATTTTATGATTTACTAGAGAATTGGAAAGAAAATGATACTCAATTTCCTAAAAAATCAGCTATTATTCTAAAATTGCTACATGAAAATGACTGCTCTATTAACATGATTAAATTTGCCAAGCTATTTGTTGCTCAATTAGTAAATTCATCATTTGAAGAATCAAAAGTAAATACAGAACTATGTATTACATTAAGACATTTTTATTTCACTTTTGTTTGTTTAGGTATATAAGATATACTTTATTTATTTTACTGAATTATATCAAATTTAATATTTCAGAATATTTATAAAAGCAAAACCATAAATGATTTGTCTGCTTCCAAGTTAGAATTACTTAATCAAAGAATAACCAATCGTGATTATACAAGTGGACATAAAGTTAATCCTGCAAATGAATTTCCTGGTGTGCAAGGGTTCTTTAAAGAGTTAATAATCATATTGTTGAGCAGTGGTATTTTTTGTAAATATTTGATTGATGCATTAGTACATAGAATAGATGTTTTAAACTCAATGGATTGGGCTTCTGAACTACAAGAAGGTATAAAATATATTGTTTAATGTGTTATAGTAATGAAGTATTAATTTAACCAATTATGATTTTAGGTGCGATATATCAACAAACATATTTTTTTTATGTAGATACATTAAAGATTTTAGCAAAATTTTTAGCATTTACCTTTTATCAACCGTATAAAGATTGTAATGTTATAAATCCTTCATCAAAAGAGTATGTATGGGATATACGATCTAAGGTATTTACATTTTATTTTATATTAATAATATTTATGTAATATTTATTAAAATTATATGTGTTTCATTTAGGTTCTACCTCCATTAAATATTCTTGATAAATTATGCAGTGCTTTTAACCGAGGACATAGAGAAATTGTATTAACAACTTCATGGGTAATTGAATACTTGTACCAAGTGGATCAAATTTCAATTACAACTCCTTTTTATAAAAACGTTTTGACATGGCTATATTCTTTTTGTATGGCCAATCCTGTTATAACTGGTTCTATGCTAATGTTAAGATTACAATTTAATTGTTTACTTGAATACATAAATGTAGCTCCTCATATACTGTTTGACAATTCTTCAAAAATTATTGAGACAAGTAATTGAGAGTTATATTTAATATTTTCTTATTAATTTGATTGATATCTACAATAAATTAAACATCACAATATCTTTAGGTATTTTAGAAAATACTTTCAAGGAATTTAAAATTGATCAATTAGTAAATACAAAATTAATTTATCAGTATTGCCCACAGCTTAAAAATTATCGTAGTATATTAGAATGTAAAGTAAGTAATAAAAAAATTAAATTTGTTTCACCTATTATCAGTTCAACCAGTCAAAAAGGAAATCCACATCGTTTGATTGAAGTAAATAAAATTTGAATTGTAACTATTTTTTTTTTTTTATATTTATTGAAAATAATTGATTTTATTTTTTTAGTCTGAATTGGAATCAAATTTTTTTGAAAATCATTCTCCTTCAGTTTTGATAACAATTGATTTTGTTGCCAAAAGAGTAGCTTCTTCATGCACTAAAAAAATTCAAAACAAAGGCTTGGCTGCTGTAAAGAATCTATTTATTGATATTGTGTGCGAAAAATTTAATGACTCTATCACTAACAAAACGGTGCTTCATTCATTTATTACTTAATATTAATGTTTACTCTACATATTTTTATTAATAAAACATAATAATTTATAGGATATTGAGTTTAATGTTGATGAAAGTGATATTGCTAAATGCAATGTGTTTTTAAATACAACTATTCAACAATATATAGAGCATTTTTCTAAATATAATATTCCTAATTCTATGAAAGAGTTATTGGATTCTGATACTGTGAATCCTGTTTCATTGCCATTTTGTATTGATGTTACTGTTCGAAAATTCAAAGCGCTAGTTGCTGAATGGGTTAAAGATCATATTAATATCAAAAGTAAGAAGTTGTATTTAGTTATTAACTTTGAATATTGTATTAAATTACTGTTTTCTATGCAGATATGTTTATTAACTACATTAGCACTGAATTGAAGACAAATTTAAAAGGCTGTATATTAAATGAAGATGGAAGTAATTTGCGTGAAATATTGATTACGCATCATGATCAACAGCCGGAAGAATTGTTTATTCCAGAGACTAACCTATTGTTAGATTTGAATGTAAGTATTTTTAAAGGAAAAATTAAATAAAAATATATTTTCTTACATATTTAATAATAATAATATTTATTTGATACCAATTACAAAATATACAATACTTCTTTTAATGTTAATTTAATTATTTAGGGTTAATTATAAAACATGAACCTATTTATTTTAAATATTATTTCATTGGAATTAGATAAAAAATCACAGATATATTCTATATGGATTTATAATTCAAAATGTATTATGTTACAATTCATACGTTTTGAAATTAAAATTGTTTTTTTTCTAAATTTTAAGAATTTTGTAGATTTATTGAATAATAGCGAAATAAATAAATGATTTTAATTCTATGCAAAAAACTGTTAAGTTTAAAATAGTATTATCAATTTGTTAAATACATTTTCCATCTTAAAAATTAAAATATGTACTGGACAATTTAATATTTAGAGTTTGCCAATTTCTTTTATTTTTTATTTCAGTGTCCTTTTGAAGACAATTTATTAGTTATTAAAATACCTTCTAAATATTTTTAGTAATTAGTTAAGTATTAACTAACCATAATTCATTATACTTTTTTTTCTTTCTAAAGATGATAACATTGTCCATAAATATTTATTTATTTATTTGATTTGAGAAATGCATTTTTAAAAGATATTTTATTAGCTCTAACTTTAAAATTTTTATCAGTTTGAAACTATTAAAATTTAAATAATCAATATTATATTTTTTTTCTTTGGTTAGTAAATAGTATGCAATACCTTTTTATTCATTTATTTTAATGTTAATTATTCTATTTTCGTATATCTTCTTCTTCGCCTTTTTTTCAACTATTTGTGTTAAGGGCTGGCCAATTTTATTTTTAGAATGATTACTATTAAAAATTAATGCAACTGCAAAATAGTAGTTTTTAGTGGTCTACTAAGTAATTATATACCAATTACTCTTGGTATATTGTTTCTTAGTTATAAATAAAATGGTATATAAACCCATTTGATTGTACTTTTTTTATTTATTTAGTATTGCCTACAATGTTTCTGAAAAGTATTTTTTCACCTTAACATTACCTAAGTATGTTTTTATATTTATTATTTAATTTGTTCTATTTTTGTATATAATTTATCATTTTGAAATATATAACTACATTGTATGAACTTATTAATTATAATAATAAACTGTATTCATATAATGTATATTATCATTATCGGTTATAATAATAATGAATGAAATTTAGATAATTTTAGTACTTAAAAAAACATAAATTTTTATTATTTGTTTCAGATACTTGGTTTAAAAATTCTTGAACTTGATGAAAATGAATTATTTCCCGATGAGTTATTGAAATATGCAGACAAATTTAAAATTATTTTGGAAAACAAAAATAAAATGAAGCCTGCATTGTACCGTTATTTTATAACAAGACTAATTGATCAGGTTTTCCTAGCAAGTATGTTTAGTCTTTGATAAGTAATGAACAAAATTTTATCATATTTATAAAATCGTTTGAATTATTTTATTTTAGCATATCATGTGCCAAAGTTTTTGAATAAAAATGTTATGAGTGCTTATTTCCCATACCTGGCTGAAAATGTCTATTCCGTTTCAATGATATTATGTGAACGTAACATTTATATATTATCAGAGATATCAAATTCTCAAAAAGCAATTGTAATTGAAAAACTTACAGCTTGGTTAGAATATTTAATTGAAAATAATTTTCTCTTACTTGACGAATTGACAAATCAAATTATGTCAATTTTACATCTATCATGGTCTGATGTAATGTCTTTTATTAAATTTAAATATTTTGTTGGAATACATTTTAAAATATTGTTTTGTTTTTGTTATTTTATAGGACACACTAAAATGTTTATCAATTTGCTTTAAAGATTTAAATGCTGTATGCTTGAAAAAATTTGATGATACCAAAGTGCAAGAATTATTTATTTGGCTTACTCATTTCTTGGATGTGATCGAAGATTACAATGTAGAAATTTAAGAAAATAAAACCAGCAAACTATTATTACAATTGTTATACGAATTTATTTTTCAATTATTTTCAATAATAATTTAAGAAGACTGATTTTATAATATCAGCATTTATAATAAGAAATATTAATTTGATCTCTTTTTATAATTTTTAATATTTTTTGCAAACATGATATTGTGTACACTTATTATAAATTCTCATAAGTATATATATTATATATATATTTTATTATAGAATTTTTTTAAATAAATAACTACTAGTTACTTAAATACCATTTAAATTTTTGAAAACTGCTTTCATAAATTTAATTTAAAAATAATTGTTATATTGTAGTGGGTATGAGATGGGATGGTGTTGAAAGACCTTTTTAACCATAGAAGGAAAATTGTTACATTGCAAACTCAATTATTGTATTGTTTTTTTTTTTATTATTATTAAGTTTAATCTTAGTTATAATATACTTTAATAAATTTTTATCAGTTTTCATGGAAAAAGTCTGAATACATGGATTGATTTCTTAAAATTTATTGATAAAATTTTAATAAGTTATTTTAAGGAAAATATTGTTACATTTTGTTTTTAGAATGATGACTATTAAAAATGATTGTCACTGCAAAATAATAGTTTTTGATGGTCTACTAAATAATTATATACCAAGTACTCTTGGTATATTGTTTTTCGTAATAAATAAAGTAATATTTAAGCTTATTTAAGTGTACCTTTTTTTATTTTTATTTTTTATTTTTTTATTGCCCACAATAGTTCTGAAAAGTATTTTTCACTTAAAATAACATTACTTATTTATGTTTTTATATTGATTATTTAATTCATGTTTTCATTAAAAACAACTATTTATTAAAATGTTATTTAAGACTGAAAATTTATTTTTACTATTATTATTGTTTTTTTTTACGTTTTTGTATTATGTATGATATGTACATTCTAAACACAATAAATATTAAATATGAAAAAATAATTTATAGTTAAAAAAAAAATGTTTTTAATTAAATATTAGAGAGATTAATTATTACATTAAAATAAAATTAAAAAGTCATATTATTTACAGAAAAATGTGTTCATATTAAATAAAAACATTTTGGTCCTAGATGCAAACCTGAGAGCATCATTGAGTTACTCAAAATGACAGAAATATTGAAACTACAATATTGAAATATAAAAATATTAATAATAATAATTAGTTATAAGTTACTATCCAGGAAATATCAAATGTTTTGTAAAATAATGTAAATATTTATCAGAAAAAGCTAATGCCATTGCTGTTAAAAAGTTAAATTAAAAAAAAAAAGAAATGTAACACAATATGATAATTTTTTTAAAAGATATTTGAACACAAACCCAAAATTGGAAAATTTAAATATAATCATAATCATATGGTATGATAATGTTCATGAGTAGTACACATATAAGCAGTACCACAGTTACAACTTACTTATGCCCTAGGGCAACAACATATAATATTATTTTAGTAATGGGTAAAATTTATTATAAATTGTTTATAACATAATATATATATTATATATTTGTATGGTATAGTGGTATTTAATTGTATTATACAATATTTTGAACACATGGTATAAAATTATTTTGTAAATTTTTGTAAAACAATTTAATGTGTTATTTTAATTGTTTTTGTGATATACAAAGTTATTATTTATAATTGTAACACATTATTTTTCTGTTTTGTATTCATTCTAAAAATATTTATAGCTACAAAATGTTATCCTTATCAAACTGTATATTGCTATTGACATTATTGTATATTCTATATAATTAATTAATATTAATCTTCATTCAGTAACGTCTTCTTGCGATTGATACTTACTATATTTTAAGAATATAATTTACTAATAAATATGAATTTTAATTTAAATATTTAAAATTTTAATTATTTCTAAATAATTGGTTGTATGTTTAAATATAAGTTTGTTGAATTTGGTCTATAATAATTGTTGTATTATGTGTTTTTAAATGTTTTCTGACCTTTAAGTTATTTTTTAAATTAATTTATTTTATAATGATTCATATTTCATAATTAACAATGGTTTTATAAACTGTATTAAATTTCTGATAACATAAGGTACTGCAAGGTTCTATATGGTATTATACAGTTTTTGTACAGAAAAAAAAAATTATAATACTGTATTTTAACATCTCAATGTACCTGTATTTAGGTAATATTTTAATAATAGTCATAATTCACAGATTATTTTTGTCATAATACAAAATCAAGTCTAGTACTATGGCAGTTTTGGTACTTGAAACCTACTACAATCAGGGGTGCATCAATGAAGAGGAGGAGAGGAGGAAGCAAAAGGGATATTTTCCCCTGGTGAAAATTTTGAGGGTGGAGGGGTACATTTTTGAGAAAATGTGTACGAATGAATATTTTTACAAAAGTATTTGTAGCAAAATAATATAAACAATAAACATCATTATATTCTCACTACCCAGATTTCAAAGTCTAAAAGGTACCATTTAAATATATTGGAAATCCCAGAATTATAATTTATAATAATTATATAGTAATGTACTATTTATAGATTATATTATAAATCAGAGTATTTCTTATGTTATGACATTTATGTAATATATCATAACATGTGAAGAGTTAATTATACATATATATATATATATATATGTTTATAGGAGAATAATAATAGATCTCCTATAATTGACCAAATACAATTTTCTTATATATAGGATACGATACAGTCATTAAACTTGATTAGGAAGAAAGTTGTGGAAATATTTTTAGTCATACCGGTATTTTTGAAGGTTATTATTGTATTACCTACTTATTATTAGGACTGAAATTTTAATGTTCCAAAAATAGAAAAAAATACTTTAAAAGTCATAAAAATACGTAAAAAAATGTATTTATTATAGTATAGTAATGATATTATAAAAATGATGTTACCAAACATATTTAATTATATTTATTTAACATAATAATAACAAAATAGTTGCTTATTTGTTTAATATTTACATTTTATTTTACTTTATTTAAATTCAATTGATTTCATATTTATTGTTACATTCATCAATATAATCTTGTAAATAGAAACATCTTTTTCAACTAGGTATATTAATTTAGTTTTGTTTTTGATAAAATAGGAACATGGGTCGATATGCTCATATTTATTAGTTCATAAATTTAATAGATTAGATACTAAACGTTTTAAAAGTTTTAAGTGAACGAATACCAAAATGCATTATCAAACATTCTAATGCTCTAAACACTTGAAAATGCCTTAAAAACAACAACATATGCCCTAAAAATGCACATATAAATAAAATTTCACATAAAATGCAAAAAAATGCAAAATAGAAACTACATTGAAGTAATCAGTATCACTTAAAACTTGCCCCCTCCCCATATATCGATCTTTAATACGCCTCTGATTACAGAACCTACTAAGTCATAATATGTTACCTACCATAAATAATCATTAATAATTTATCAATATTTTATTTTTGGGTAATAGATATATTATTTTAGGAATATAACACATTATTTACATAATTTCATAGTTTATTAAAGTGTCTGCCAACCGCCACGTATTGGTATAGAAGTTTTTTCTTTCTGTGTGCACACTACCCGATTTCTCATCTCAGTACAAGTGCACTTATAACCCCAACACAATATTTTCATTGTTATTAAAATAAACTATTTTTGTAATTTGTTTACGTTTAATTCTCACATGGCTTTCGCCAAGGATAATTTTGTCTTTTCAATACTAAGTAGTCGAAATGAAACCAATTAACAACGACACAAAATTATTTATGCAATTTTTCATTACCCGAAAATTTAATTACAACATACTCATAGAAATTAAATATTTAAAAAAAAATTAATATTTCTGAACATGTCCTCGATTAGCACTGCGTAAAACTATAAGAATAAATAATATGTGTTGTTTGGGTTGAGTACCGTTTTTTATTTTGGTTTTTTACAATTTAAATTTATTTGTGTATCGTTAAAATTAATTTTGTTAATTTGGTTTATTTTCTGTTTTCTTCTATTTGATATTTTCTTTGTTTTTCTACTGAAAACACAAATTTAAAAGGATATTAATGGTATTATTGTAAATAAACGAATGTTAAACGAGATAAAAAAAAATTGCGCATAAAAAGATTTGTTCGAGGAAAATATTATTGGCGTTATGGAATTATAACTGATTTGGTTTTTAGCGTCAACTGTTTGTTACATTCATGTAGGTACCTGATAATTTATTTGTATCTATTACCAGCAGTCAACGTGCTTTTTTCCCAGTAACTTTAGTTTCGGTCGACACCGGCAGTTGATACCATGGCTCATTTTTGATATCGGTTATCTTTAAACGCTCTTTCAACGGTGCTAATAACTTTGTAATTAAATCTTTACAGCTATCGGCAACCGGTATGTCTTGTGGGAAAACTACTGGTTTTTGTACTTGCTAGTAAATAAAAAATAAATACAACTTTAAAGCAAATGTAATTATTCATTCGGCCTTTCCCTTGAAATTACATGTTTATTAGTTGAGAAACCATTTACCATCGAATTTTATACCGTAGTGAAAATCATTTACAATTCAGCCGGTTTTAAAAAAAATTCGCTTATAACAATAAATCCAGCTAGCAAATCGATTGGAACTAAACAATGGTTTGAGTAAACGAAAGTCCCGAGTGCATGATCCATTTTTTTTTTTAATTGGCTACCGATCGATACGATAATAACGATCTGTACAGATTACCTTTCAATTTATTATAGTTTACTGGAGATTTATACCAAATGCGATTATTATTTATACTGGCGTTCTTTGCACGACAATTTTGTAGTCAAATTTAACAATGATAATCATGCAAACATATACACACTGCCAGGGGCGTATTTAGAGGGGGGGAGTGATATGGGTGTTATAACACCCCCCATCGCCCATATTCTATGGTATTTCATTAAATTACAAGCTTACAGTATAATTTGAATAAGCGTTGTATACAAATTAATGATTTTACATACACTGTCTTAATATAATCAATTTCATTAGTATAATAATTTATATAAATACATGGTATTTATTTATGTAATATAGGAGGGGGGGTAAAGCCTCCCACTTACCATAAGTCTATTAAATTTTAAAACACCCCCGTTAAATGAATCTTGGATACGCCACTGCACACTGCAGATATGTTGAAAATCTTAGATTGTTTTACGGAGAAAAAAAAATCCTATTCGCGGCTATTAAGTTTTCAACAAATCATGGCTGAATGGATTGTGATATGGTGGTGGGAGGAGGGAAGTATAAGTACTTTGAGTAACTTCGGAAAAGTCGTGTCATCGAACGGCAGTGTACCGAACACCATGGCGAAGAGCACCACGCCGATGGACCAGACGTCGGACATGGTGGGTTGGTATGGCTTGCCGTTTAATATTTCCGGCGATGCGTATGCGTAACTGCCACAGAACGTCTGGCTCATTTTCACCTGGCCGTTTTTCCTTATCATGTTGTTCCGGGCGAATCCGAAGTCCGACAACTTGATGTTGTAGTCCTTGTTCAGCAACAGATTCTCGCATTTGATGTCCCTGCGGGTATAACGGACAACAATCAGTAGAGGCGTGCCCAAGATCAAAATGTAGGACAGGCCCAGTTATAATTATTTTAATTCATATGCTGGTAGGTTAGTCATATTATTATTTTATTTCTCGTAAACTTTTATAAATGGTTTGCTCTGACATAAAACATAGTCAATACTACGAATTAAGACTCCCCTCCACCTTTTCGCCAGACAATTCACTTGCTACTACAGACAAGGAAAAAGCAGACATTTTCGCTTAAGAATTATCAGGAGTTTTTAAACCAAATCTTATTCCCACACCAGAACCACACATGTCGTTAGCCATGGAGTCTCTTCAGTTAACTTTACTTATGGTGCTCCCTTCAAAACCAACTTTCTTTGCGGGAATGGTGAGTATCATAAAAAAAATTGGCAAATAACAAATCCCCACGACTTTATTTTCACCAAAGTTATTAAAAATCTTCCTATGAAAGCGATCGTTCATCTAACTCATATTTATAATGCAGCCCTTCGCTCACCTACTTTTCAAACTATTTGGAAATCACCTGTTATTGTCACAGTATTCAGATCAGGTAAGCCTCCAGAAAACCCCTTCTTGTACAAGCCTCATTATCTTACTACCGGTCTTGGGTAAAACGAATCAAACGAATCATCATCATAGCCCAATCAAATAACAGTATCCCAGACTTCCAATTTTACTTCAGAGCACACCATTCCACAAACCATCAACTTCACCGGGTCGCGGATACCATCTCTACAGCACTCAAAACCAAAAAATATTGCGCTAGAGTCTTTCTAGACGATGCGAAAGCTTTTGATATCGTCTCGCAAGACGGTCTCCATTTTAAACTAAAAAATATATTTCCAGTCCTATTATACCTAATACTTAAATCCTATCTCGCTAGCTCCTCATTTAATGTCCACCACATCTTGCAACACTAATAACAATATCCTGTATCTGCTGGTGTAACCCTAGGCAGTGATATTGAATCATTCTTGTACACCATATACACGTCAGACTTGCCCACATCAGAATATACTCTAGTTGGAACATATGCTGATGATACCGCCTTATTATCAGTTTCTTCTGATCATATCAGAATGTATGAATAGATCATACATTAAACGCTTCCACACCAAACTTCAAGATATTCCTAACCAACTTATCACTGACTTAGCCTAGCTAATACTTCCCGGCAACCTAACCAGACGATTCAAAAGAAACTGGTGCCGTGACTTGAAAACTTAAGACTTAAAAACTTAATAATATTAAGAGGTGTCATAAATATGTGGCTTCCTCCCCTCATATGATTATATTATACCTATTAGCAGTCTGTAAAATATTAATACTTAATGTACATACTGTATAGATTATAATTTTTCAAATAAAGTCATGCATTTAAGAAAAAAAAAAAAACTTTTCATAACATTTTCAAATTTAATTAGAAAAAATTATCATATAATATAACACAATTCTTCCTGTTTAACTTGTTGATAATATTTAAAGATATTAAAAAGTATATAATAATGATATAAAAATATTAATAATAACTATTTGAAACAGGGTAGGCCTAGGCATCTGGGCACGCCATTGGACGTCAGGGCAATTTATCGAGTGCGCGGTACATATTATAGGTATTCGCTTATAACAGATGATTACAATAGCCATACATAATGGATATACTATTATTTATTGCACGTTCGTTCAATGACACAATGATTTGAACTTTGAACAAACAAAATCTCCACGCATGAAAGCAATTTGAATCACCTAGTTCGTAGTAAATGTGCACACCAACTTTCACATTTAAAAACCCAATTAGGTTCTTTAATTAATTTTACATTTTTTTTCCTTCTATTTTAGTGATTCGAATCCATTATTATTATTCACCGTTCTTTCGGTTCTGTAACTTTTACGTTCTCGCGTTGAGGTCTAAGAAACATTGAAAACCATTTTGACTAGTATTTAGAACTCTACACCGACACTAGCCGATCTATTACGTGATACAAAACAAAAGTATTCAAGGAAAGCACCAACTCTCCTAATTAATGTTTTAAACAGTACACCATAAACAAAATAGATATATAGTAACAACAGAAAGTGTTGGAAAAAATGATTTTATAAATTGATAAGCATTTTTAGTGTACTCAAATCAAAACTATTCTCTTATAAGTTTGATTTTATGTCTTTAATAAATATATTTTTTTAAAGTCTAATTATTAAAGTTTATGAGTAGAAATTAATAAAACTTTTGGTACTGTCGATTAAAACTATTTACCTAATTATATAATATTATCATTAAATTCGATAGAAGTATTTTTATTTTTTTTTTTTATTAGTAACTAAAATAACTTATAAATTATTTGAAACTTTAAAAGATCCATTGTGTTAAAAAGGTAACTAAAATTTGAAGTTGATTTATTAAAAAAAAATATCTTATATATATATTATATTTTTGGCATAGTTTATCCTCTAATTTTAAAGCATCCATACATATTCACGTCTTCTCAAGTAAGACTGATATTGATTTTTTTTCTACCAAAAGCGTGTGCATAAATAGTCGAATCGAATTTTACCCGTAACTCTACAGAAATAGTTGCGGATGAAGACTAAAAACGTACGATCGAAAATTATACAACGGGGTCGTAATTGGAACGACCGAGTAACCGTTTTTATTCGGTGGACGGAGAAATTTGTTTCCCGAGGCGGTCATCGAATGACTAGCCGTGCGAACCTACCTGTGCACTACTCCGTTCTCGTGGCAATACTGCACAGCGGCGACTATCTCCCTGAACCATTTGTTTGTTCTTATTTCGTCTATTTGACCTTCCTTTTTGATGACGTCCAACAGGCTCCCGTTTTCCGCATACTCCATAATGATGTAAACGCTGAAACGGCCGGGCGGTCATTATTGACGTCGTTGCGATAACGATATAATGCGATAAACGTGTCGTTACCGGTGCGTCGTCTCGATCGCCTGATAGTATCTGATCAGATTATCGTGTTCCAGACCTTTGACCACTTCGATTTCCCGCGGTAAAAATTTTTTCAAATAGTCGTCCGCCTCCTTGATTTTCGACACGATCTTGATCGCCACGTCAGCCTTGTGCCGTTCGGAAACCGCGATCTGTATCACGACGTGGTCGATGAAACAAGAAAAAAAAAAAATAAAATAAAAAAAAATACCCGATACGATTCTCGGGTCGGGTACGGGTGGACGGTTGGTTGGCGGTCGAGACGAAACTTTCAGCGGCACCCCGTCGCGCGCGTAATCCGCGGAGACGGTGCTCGGACGTAACAACGTGTTGAACGCACGTCTCGAGCGCCACCCCGCCGCCGGGTGAAATAGTAAAATTATTGTTTTCGCAATCGTAACCTTAACGGTGGCGTACGCTCCGCTGCCCAAGCTCCTGCCTATGGTGTACCCGTGCGTTTCCAGCACCGACTGCTTCTTGTTCTTCGCCGCCGCCGTCGTCTGATCGTCTAGTTTGGCTTGCCCGCGTGTCCCGTCGTTTTTCGTGTTCTCAGCTCCATCGGCCATTCAATTAATGTTGTTCGTCGAAGGTATTTTTTCGGAATCCGTGTGTGGTGTGTCGTTGTTGTTGTTGTTATTTGTTTCGACGCCGGGCATCTGCACGCGCTCGTATCCACGTGAACGCGGCGAGCTGTTGTTTGCCGATCGCAGAGACCGTTGCCGTGGCTATCGCGATACGGACCCAAACGTGTTCTGTCGCACGCCAAACGACGCGCAGTCAAAAGCTCGAAGTGTTGCGCCCGCACCCGTTTCGCGTGCCGCTCTACAACTCGTACGTTCCGCATTGACCGTATGTTATCGGCGTCCCGTAAGACTCGGTACCGCCAGGGATATTCGTCCCGGCGCTAAGCCCCGTCGGTCGACGGCTCCCTCGCAGTCGAAACGAGCCGGGGATCTATAACCTATGCGAACCCGTACGCGCTGATAACAATGCTGCGACACGGCGCACGGTCGTCGACCACGTACGATACCATCAATTTGCCCCGTGGAATCGGCTAAAATCGTTCGAAGACCGTTTTTAACTCGCACCCAGTGTTGCGATGATCGGGTGCGCAGAGTCTGCGTTGCACCCGGGCCTTCATACTATACTATGGGGCCTCAAAAGGTCTTAAGACTCGTATGAAAACATCGATACATAATTTATTTTAACGAAACCAATGTTATTTATTATCAATATACTACCAATATCTATATGAATTATTGCATTATGTTCTTGTGTTGCAATCGTATTATAAATATTATAAAATAAATACGATTAAATATATTTATTTTCATAATAGTTATCATACTATTTTATCAGTTGTCGAAGAACGGGAAGATCCCTTCTGAATTCGCATAATATCGAGCCGTAAAATGATTTTACTCTGCGAAAAGTCACAAATGTTTTATACTATTTATTCGGTTGCGTATAAATTGATTACCAGGCACCTGTTTACCTGCATCGACACCGGTGAACTGATTCCGTGGCTATTAAGAGTCACGTACTATAATTGATTCCCTTAGGTATTATCAAGGTCGGATTAAGCTAGGGTGACCATACGTCCTGTTTTTTACAGGATTGTCCTTTATTTCAGTATTGTGTCCTATTGTCCTGACAAACTTCTTTCAGGACACTTTTTGTCCTGTTTTTTTGATCAAACGAAATTAATTTGAAAACGAAACTTACGAAAGTAATGAATAATGATTATAATTATAATTTTGTGATTGTTTGAATTTATCAGTATGAGAAGAATGTTTACGAGTTATCGGAACTTATCTGAGTTATCGAAATGACCATTTTGGAAAAATGGGGATATCAATTTGAACCACTAAAAGTTTTTCGTTGGATTCAAGTACTAGATTTTCCAATTTGGATTGACATTTAAGAGAGTTTGAAATATATTATTAAGAATAATCCAACATTGAAATTCGATGAAGATGAACTTTTTGACGAATTTAATCATGTGATAAATGTAATGAAGGTTAATTTTAAAAACTAGTAATGGTTTAAAAGCCGAAGATAGGTGTTGTGAAATATTTAAAATTCTAGAAAAAAATTACATTCCAATTAAATATTTTACGGTTATTTTAGAGCATTCAATGGCTATTCCCGGAACTAACTGTCGGTAGAAAGAGTATTTTAAATTACAAATGTTTTATGGACAGATGAGAAAAGTCGATTTCTCGTGGACACAATTAGATCGATAATGATCGTAAAACAACATTTTAAAAAATGTTTCTTGTACAGAATTTCATATATTTCTTTAAGAAAATCCACAATTATTAAAGCTAATTACTTCTTCAGAAAAATATGAAAGATCAAATAGTGAAAACATGTCTGAACAATCGTCATCAAAATGAATTAAGAAGTTTTATAAAAAAGTAAAGTACATGAATTTAATGTTATACAGTGTTATTAAAAATTGTGTTTTTTCACAATTAAAAATTAATAAATATATATATATATATATATATGTCCTGTATTTTTTTTTTTTACATATGGTCACCCTAGATTAAGCACCTATTGGGCCCCGGGGCTGAAATTTTATATGGGCCCTTTTGATAAAACATGTTTTATAAAGCTACTCGCTTCGCTCGCAGAACGATACATTTTTGTTAACTATTTCACAAATTGCCAATTGCATTATAAAATAATAAAATTAATAGGTATATAAAATTTATGTTTATAAAACTACTAATTTTAATATGATAAAAAATATGTATCGGCTTAAAATTGTTTTGGCTCCTTTCACTTGGGTACTAGATAGGGCCCCGGGGCTATCACCCCGACTAGACCCCCCTTAATCCGGCCTTGGGTATTATATTGTTGTATATCAGTAAAGAAACAAAACAGTAATTTGATAAAATTTTATCATAAATGAGTTTAAAACAGTTGATTTTAGATAGCAGTTTTTGTAGTCGAACATTCTATAATTTTATACGCGTTCTCCAATACCACTGTAGGTATTGTAAGCTCAACATTAATTCTTAGTGTCAATTTTTGAAATAAAAGTATTGTTTTCATAAAATGATTTAAATTGGGCTTGTAATATAATTAGCCGTGTGTGTTAGTTAAAACTAAATTCTATTAATACAATTGTAGAAAGTAGCACCAATCATAACCGTGATAGTATTATTACAGAAAGTATTATTAGGTGGTAAACACTGAATAATTGTTTAAAGAGGATAGCTGTGGAAGATGTTTTTGCAAATTCTTCAAAATTAATTGGTAAAGAGTTCAAATATAGAGATATATAGCATTATAACGATTGATGATCAATTCTTATACGGTATAATACTTGTATACATCGAGCCTTCTTACATCCAACCTTTTCGTGGTGCTTCCTGGGCAACACTAAAAGGCTGAATTATTCGTCTATTGGTAATTAATTCAAACCTACCTTAAATTAACCCAGGAATCAACTAATACATAAATAAATTCTCGCGAATCAACTCACCAACACCCATTTATTTATTCGTTTTCTTTTGTGTAACATGTTTTTAATGATAATATATTTTAGTAAACTAGTAATTTTCGTCTAGTAATGTACCTCAAGTATTGTGTAGTAATATAGATAGAGGATAACTATGATACATTTTTTGATACTCTTGCTATAATAGTTTACAGTAAATTATTTATTTCGATAATGAACTATCATGCTTATTTTGGTATTTAGCGTCGTATTTTATTCAAAATGTTAACTTAAAAAATCCCTCTCCTTTCTAAAAATTAAATATTTTTAGTTGCTATTGAAAAATGTACAATTATAAGCGACCTCAAGATTTTGATTCGCACACATGCTTCGAGTAGTCTAGTTATGGCACTGTTGGCACCTAAACCTTGACCGCTCATCAAACGTCCTCCCTGCCGATTACATGACCTTTACTATTTCGTATTTATTCTTGTTACTATTATTATACAACGTAATGTACGAACAATTACAAATCACTGGTCTTGGTGGGCGATAAATTGTAGAATTATTAACTTAAATGAGTTATACACGATCGTAATGTACGCAAGTGTCAATTTTATTCTCGAGACAGAAGTTTTTCATCTTAAATAACATATATATATATATATATATATATATATATTGGCGCACTATTAAAACAAACCGTTTCAAATGTAACGACTTTTACGTTTTTCGGCCGTTATCATAGTCGTTCGCGTACCCGTTCATTAGGTTGTTTTTGAAATGAAAATTCCCTGTTGGCACGATGAACACAAACCGTGTTGTTCCTTGTTGGCATTATCATTGTTGGACGCGACGCGTCGTTTAGAACGTGCGGTCCAACGTCCCCGGCAAAACGATAACGAAAATATTGTTGGATTTTGCTCGGTTCTTATCTAGCGGATAAAGAGCTGACGCCGGAAGTGTCCGGTTCGTCCGTACACGTCATACGTTCTTGGTCAGATAAAAGCGTAAAAACAACGTTTTACACGTGTAGCAGTTGTATTGCTCGCGCGCGCCGTACGTCGTACAGGGCGTGTACGGGTAGTCGCGACAGCGTAACGTTACGGGACTCGCGTAATACTCGCGGAACACGTCGTGTCTCGAGCGCAGAACCTAATCCCCGTGGGACCTTTTATTAGTTTATTTTATTAGTTAGGCTAACCTAACCTTTCGGTACTCTCGCGGACCGGTGCGCAGTTAACGCGCGCAGTCGATACGCGGTGCCGTTTCGCGCGACGCAATCCCGAGAGCTGCTGGACCGGTATAACCGTCCGCCGTCGATTCGACACGCGCGGTTCCGGTGCGGCGAGATGTGGTCCAAGACCGCCGCGATCGTGTGCTGGTGGACGGCGCTGCTGTCGGTCGGCCGCGGCTGCGAGGACAACGGCGGCGGCTTCGGACCGCTGACGGCGGCCAGGCACTCGGCACGGCCCCGGGACGGTTTCTCGATGTCGGTTTTCGGCACCCCGGACAAGTACATACCGCATTCGATGTACATCGGTGAGTGGCCGTTATGCTTGTGTTCATCCCGATCCCGAACGGGACGCGGAAAAGTTCCCCCGCACACCCCTAAAGCAGTGGCGTCGTTTCGGTTTCTTCCGGAGCAGGGCGGTCGACACGCTCTTATTGAATCGCCAACTCGCTCGTTTTACCACAGTGCCGATTAACGTGTATGGAGGGGGACGTTAAATCGGTTAAAAAAATGTAACGATTTTTACTTTGTACATAAGTATCCATACAGTGCACGTCTCGTTTTTCTAATTCACAGCGTATCAATGGATTTGTAAAAGACCCATTTACAGTTTGTTGATATGCCGATTTCGGAATAGCTAAACTCTGGACTGTGGCAAATACACAAGTTTTCCCACCCCCTCGAATGACGCCATTAGCTTAAAGATTATTCACTTAAAAAAAAAAAAAACCCCATTATTTTCAAAATTATTTACTATCACTATTTATCAAGTACACAGACCAAATACTAATTGTTAGTACACTGTCCGAGTCAGCCATAAATTTTGTATTTTTACGCGTCAATAAGCCGAGTCGATGTAATATCGTGTTAATATAAACTGCAGTCGATCCCTCATCACCTACGCCGTATGCACTTAATACACTGTAATACACGGTAATAATGTTTGTTTTTGCAGTGACGATTGACAGTAAAATTTTTGATTTCCATTCGTTTCTGATAACCGTGGAACGGGATTGCGGCGGTGGTGTTGACGAGGATTGTGGCGATCCAATGTCACCGGACCGTTCGGGTTCACTACAGCTATTATCGCAAGACAACGGTGCGACATTCCATCCGGAGTGCATAAACACTATTGTTCAATCCGAACCAGCGGCCAAAATGCGGAAATTGCGTTTTATGTGGTCGGCCCCAAAAGCCGGCAGTGGTTGTGTGTACATCAGGTTAATATCATGTTGTTCGTATAAAACTGATTTCGGTACGTTTCGATGCATATTGATGTACCGTCGTGGTTAAAAATGTATAGGTGATAATCAAAATACGCTTTCGAATGAAACACAGATTCAATCATATTGGTTTAGGGTAATATTTCATTATATTATGGCGCAGGTGTCTTATGATTCACAAATAAAGAATGAGGGGCTACCAGCAGCGACGGTGCTAGAGTTTGCGAGGCTCTGGGCAAAATAAATGTTGGGTCCTTTAATTTATATTAATAAAACATTTTAAGTTCAGTTAAATCAGAACCGCGGGGCCTTAATTATAATTTAAGGCGCGGGGCTCTGGGTAACTGTCCCTATTGCCTACCCCCTCGCGCCGTCCCTGGCTACCAGTGCCACTAACTTGGGCCCATGTGAAAATAAAATGAATGACATTTTTCTATCAAACAACAAATTTGTCGAATTTCAAAAGTGTGTTGTTTAATAAGTTAGACGAATTTTCAAAAATTATCCTCCTACAATATAATCTTTTTTAAGGGCACCTACAAGAATCCCAACACTTAGTTATAAGGTATGGCCCGATTAACATGACTGTATAAAATTATTCTACGTAAAACTTTTTATTATTTTTTTTATCAAATGTCAAAATAACGAGTGTGTGACATTCACTTTTTAATAATTAACATAATTATTGGGCTTATATTTTTTGTTTAAAAATTGAACTGTTGAATACTAAATATATTCCAGGGCTTTACTAAATTATGGAAATTATCATAATAATAACCAGAAAATTGAGCTGCTCAAGGAATTTTGCGAAATGTCTTTTGAAACCGTACCTAAACCAAATCATCCACTTGAAGACGAAACTTGTTGCGCTTGTGACGAAGCTGTTTATGAGGTATGAATCAAGTATTCTTCAACTGATATAACGTAAAATACAAAAATATTCTTACCGGAATGTGTACATTTGAAATTCTTTTTGGTTTTATTTCAAAAATTCACAAAAATCGTAGATGAAATTCGAAGGGCTATGGTCGTCGAAAACTCATCCGAAAGATTTTCCGACGGCTTTATGGCTCACACACTTTAGTGACATTATTGGAGCAACACACGACAAGAACTATTCGTTTTGGGCCGAAGGCCAATGGGCTACCGATGGCGTCAGACAGTTGGCCGAGTGGGGTTCGACCGCAATTTTGGAATCCGAACTAAGGCAACAGGTACACGTTTCTACTCACTGGACCATATTTTACGATAAATTATTATGTATCTGTATAGTGATTATGGAAATCGCATCCAGGTTCGCATTAGAGATGTAAATTTTTTACAACAAAATTATACAAATATTTATTTTTTATTTAATATTCAGTATACATAAATGTATAGAGAAACATGAATATAAGATTGATTATATGATATATTATATATGATTATTATGTTGCATAATATGTGTTTTCTAACTTAACTTATAACATTTGTATGTGTATAAAATATTCAATGTTATTATATTTCTCTATTTATTATTCATATACTTCTTCTAGGCAGTTAGTACTTTATGTAATTCAATCACAAGGATAAACATCGTTTGTCGACCGGGACACCTGTAGTAGAGAAAAAATAAACAAGAAAATAGCTGAAAATCTAAATTTAATTTTACTGTTCTGTTCCGAACAAATAACATATTTCGATAAAACATAATATAACATACATACACAACTAACATAACAATGAAACCAATTTAAAAATTGATAGTGTTAACAAATTGATTTTCGAAATTTCTATAATACGTAAACAGTAGCTGTTAACTTGTTGGTGGTAAATATCTATACCAAAATTACTCTCGTTATAATTCATTAACGAATTAACTCGTATACAAATGATACCATAGATTGAATTCTAAAGTAAAATTTTCATTTAATATTTACTTATATGAAAATCTTAAAATATTTTTCTTAAATCAATAATACATAATAATAATATGTAAATGTGTGGTAAGCACCGCACCGCAGAGTCATAATTCAAGGATTATCAAATAAATAAGCGATTAAAAATAATATTGTTTATATACTAATATTATTGTGTCTGGCTGTAGTCAATAGGTACGTATTTAAAATATATTAGGAAAATATGTCAAACTGTAATTACACAGGAACTACTGAAATTATTTGTAAAGCATTTGCTAATTATTATTATTTCATATAAATATATATAAATAAATTGTTTATATATAAAAAAAATAAATAAATGTTTAACCAGAAATATTATTATATTTGTAAAGAACGATCGGTTTCGAATCGAAAATTCATCATCAGGTTGATAGAAAGTCAATAAAATCGCCATTCATTAATTTTTACATTAATTTACGAGTATTAGCAATTTATTAATTATTGTTTTATTTCATACTTAATCATAAATTGTTGGATTTAAAGCTTTTAGATTTTTTTCTTCAATTATTTATAAATTAAATTCTACCAGTTTCAATTTTGTTGTATGGCAAAAATTAAATTTAATGATATATTTACCTATTTATAAACAACCTAATTAAAATCTCTGATTTTAACCTAAATTCATAAACGTTTGTACGGTATTCGCTACTAATTATTTCATATTTCACATATCCAACCTTTGAGCTTAGATTTTTTAATTTTAATTTCTGAACACTAATTTTCTCGGAAAACATACATTTTACTTCTACGCTTCTACGTACGGCGTTATGTTTAATTTATTTTTTTATTCTTAGAAAAAACATTTGAGAACTTTGATTAAAGCCGCCGGTTTATGGTATCCACGAGTGAACGAAAACGCAACGTCTAAATTCCGGGTGGACAGGAAACATCACTACGTTTCATTGGCTTCTATGCTCGGTAAAAATATCGATAATAATGTATAATGTTGATAATAACGTTGGTGACATATACGGTATTTCATGCATACCATACGATTTGATCATAGGTCGTAAACACAATATTATGTTCGGCATTTGTTTTTAGGTCCGTCTCCTGATTGGATAGTGGGCATCAACAGTCATAATTTATGCGAGAAGAACTGTCAATGGGCTCAAAATAGATCACTAGACTTGTACGTGTACGATGTCGGCACGGACAGCGGACGCTCATACATGGTAACAATTTGTGTTTTACCGGTTATAGGTGATATGTAAATTAGTTGTACTGTTGACCGGCGGTTCAATTTGGAGGTTGTACATCGGACTTATTCATTTTACGAGTATATTGCTCACAAATAGTTTTGTGAAAAATACAGCAGAGGAGGATTGTGATTTTACTCTTTCCTACTACAAAACGGTTTTTAAATCGTTAAGTTTTAACAGCTTTCTGTTTAACAATATAAATACAATTGTACACTACCACAAATATCTTGAAACGAATCATTTTTATTTGAAATTTTACCTTTAATTATTTAATTTTTTTCTCCAGGGAAATTTGTCGATGTCAATAAATTATTGTTTGTAATTTATAAAATGCATTTATAATTTCCTATTTATAAACGGTTAATTTGCATGAACAAAATACCGAGTAATGTATTCGCAGTGTTTCGTCGAATTAAACTAATGTGGTTTAAAATTTCAACACAATAATTTTGAAACGTACGTACGTTAGAATGAAAATATGTATACATGTTCTAAAACTACTATGCGTCTATTATACCACTCTTATAGTCATTGTATAAGAAATAAATAGTAGTGGTTCCATAGAATTTGATAAATTTCAGATTTAGAATGATTCCTATAAATATTTAGCCGTTTGCATTTTCAATCATCGTTTTAAAATAATTTTTACTTAAAAAAAAAGTTTACATCAATACCTATTATATTTTACAGGAATACGATATGATGTTTTATTTTTTTTTGTGATTCTCTAAACCACGCAAAGACGTCATACTCAAATGACATACAATTATACCGACGAAAAACTTCATAATGTTTATTTCAACCTTGATTATACATTATTTTAAATGATAATGAATAATCAGTATGTATCATCGTATTGTTATTTGTAGTAAACAATTCTAGATTGCTAAAGTACAACGTTAATTCTTCTATGTTCTTATGACTTAAAGGTTCACAAATTTGCATATTAATTTATTCAATCAATATCGACGTCATATGATATAAGCTAATTTTTTCATTTATATTATGATTTTTAAATAGAGGCCAAAAGTGAAACAGCGAAAACTGGTGTGATACATAGAATATATGTACGTATGAATGTGTTGAATCTGAACAGTCCGAAAAATGTTTTTAAGATTAGTCTTGCACACAATAATAATTTAAAATTATTTTAAATCACAGAATCACTTAAATTTTTTAATTAAATATAAGTATGTGACGACAATTAGAAATGCTATGTTAAAATTAATTTTTCTAATACAGGGAAAATTACTAGGTATATTGACTTTTCCGATTTTTAAATTGTATTCAATAGTAATTTTCGATCATGCAAAAACCATGAGAAATTTTTTATATCAATTTAATGCTAATATGGTAATTTAAAAAAATGTACTGTAAAATGCTCTGATTAGTTTTAAATTATTATTTTTTTTACGCGTACAATATTTAAAAAAAATTGATTATGGAATGAAAAATTGTTCTCAATTAAATATATGTTTTGATCCCAATACTTATATTTAATATATTAAGTGCATTGAAACGTGCACAAACGTTTACAGCAAAATCAGTACAGATAATAACTATAGGTACGATTTATTTTTCATTCGAAATTCATTTTGTATACGTCCACAAAACTGCGATGTATTATAATAAACTTTAAAACATTAAGAATTGCCAAAATTGTCTTTCTTTCATCCATATAGTTATTTAAATTTTATAGTTTTTGGAAATATTTCTAAATTTCATTAAACTCAACAAGATAACTTAAGGTATAAAGAGTATTATTGAAATTAAATCGCATTACTTATAATGCGTAACTATGAATTGTTATATTATTAAGTATATATATATTTATATATACATGAAAAACATGAGTTTCTCAATTGATTTCAGTCGCATAATCAAGAAACCCTGCCACATGAACGTATTTATCGCATAACTCCGATGTATCCGGATGATCAGAGATCACCGTTTTTTAACGAATTGGAAAACGAAATAAATCCGTTAGCGCGTTTGCACTTGAACAGAATTAATGTCATACCGAAGTCTTGTTCGGACAAAATCATCACCGACTTAATAGACGAACTTGCCGTATCGGAAAATTCACAAGACGTATTAAAACGTAGGAAATGTTTTATTTGAAAATAGAAAATGCGTTTAATTTTCGCATATATATATTATCTCTAGTTTAATTTAATTTTTTTTTTTTTTTTTTGTTAATATTCAGCGGAATGCGCAGTTTCGAAATATTCTGAATGGAGTGAATGCAATGTATCATGTGGAAAAGGTCTCAGATCGAGAACCCGAAAATATTTAAACGAAACTGTTGCCAAGCTTTCCGGTTGCGATAGACAATTGGTGTCAAAAGAAATGTGCTTGTCCTCAGTACCAATTTGCCCGTAATGATTTTTAAGTTTATTTTAAATATCTAATTATATTTAGCCATTAGAGATAAGACGAGAACAAATGAAAATATTTTCTAATCATAATAAAACCTTATACTAATATGATATTTGATTGCACTAAATATGCTAAAATTATTGTATTTTACTTTACAATTGGAGTGTCGCTGAAAAGTGAATATGTATATAATGTACTATTTTAAACTTTAGATTTATGGAGAAATAAATACTTCACGATTCAAGTTTGAAAAGTAGTTATGTTCTAAGGAATGTTAAGAGTTTATTTTGAACATACTTATAAACATTCCCGAAAATAAATGTATGCTTACAAATTAGTATTCAGCGCATAGTGAAAAAAAAAAAAATAGAATAAATTAAAAATAAAAATGAAATCGTAATTTAATTTATAAGTACAGTTATAGTTAAGGAAAATATATTTTTTTATTTTTCATGTTAATTTTATTTCAAAATGTCCTCATAATACAGGTTCATAAATATTTACTTCATTATATTTTAACAGCTGTCCCTATTGGGCTTAAATAACAATAGATTTTCCAGTAAAACGGCTATCCTTCTTAAATACAACTGTTTTTAATTTTATACGATGACACATTTTTATTTTGCATTATTTCGAATGGAGTTAAGAGTTAAATACTGATTAATTTCTAAATTTATTCGGAAATATTTATAAATTATTAACGGATTGTTTTTAAATTTTTTATCAGTGGTGAGACGGAACAAGAAGACGATACACTACTTGTTGATGATTCTAAATGCAACACCACTGATTGGACACCAATGTCTGAATGTTCAGTGTCTTGTGGAATTGGATTTATGTTCCGTACAAGACAATTTTTAGAAAAAACCAGTTACAAAAAATGTCGCCACATCAATCTTGTCATGAAGAAGAAATGCATGCAACCCGCATGCACTAAAGTCCCTGAAGAGGTAAATTGAATTCGTAGTTCAATATTTTTTTAAAGTATTTTCTAAAATGTTGTGTAGCATATTACATATCCGAAGTTCGAATGTTTAAACGTGTCTTGTATGGTCAGGATATTGGTACAAAAAAGTACATTTTTAATATATGCTCCAGTAAGAGCTTAATATTATATTAAATATTTTATCAATTTTTTTAATAGAACAGCTTCAAGTATTTTCGACATAAAAACAACCGTTTGTGAGTAATCATATCATTACTCGCAAACGGTTGTTCGGTTATGATATATATAAAATATATTTTATATATATTATAACCTAATAATAAATTATTAAAAAATAATATATATATATATATATATTATTTTCATTTTCTATATTTTATTTTAATAAAAATTCATACGCAAAATTACTTTAACAAGACTAAATATACCTATTTTGTATGTGGTTTAGGGGTTGGAGATATTTTAATACTCAAAAAAATAAATAAGGTAGATAAAATACTTTTGATTCGAATATAGCATGAATAATATTACTGTAAATACAGTACATTAAACAATTTCTTAAAAAAATATTAATTAATTACGGTTTTCTGTGTTTAGTTAATTATTATGTATATATTATGTTGTTATAGTCTGGTCATATTAGAGAATGTCCAGTGACTGAATGGAGCATGTGGAGCCCGTGCAATGCAACTTGTGGTCAAGGTGTATCGGTAAAAGCACGATTGTTACTTGTGTCCGGTGAAAATTACACGAAATGCGTTGATAAAGTAGTGTTAGAGGAGACTCGTCCGTGTAATGGGACAAAACCCACCTGCGAAATCAGCGAGTCTCGCGCGAAAGGTACAAATACATAAAATGTACTATTGAAATACAAAATATTTTTGAATATTATAACACATTATAATACTGTGTACTAGTGAATCTTAATATTTTCTGAATTAAGGACGTACACTTTTATGGTATATAGTATGACAATGGATCTCGTTTGAAAAGAAAAGTCTTTTAGTTTTGGTTATTATTTAATATTTCAATATCTTTACACATTCATTTGGAAAAAATATTTCTACCATTATGTTACCAATATGTTTTATGAACATTTTTTTTTTTATTATTCGAACAAAAAATTTGGAACTATTTCATAGACTCTTAAGTTATTATGTAAGACCCTACGGGGTCCATGAACCTAGATAGGCAAGACAATTTCTACCGCAGTGTATACTGTTCATGCAACACAAATCTAATAATCCTTTAATTTTTCAATTATACTTGAATACTGAAATATGCATATTGTATAGTAAAATTTGTTGGAGTAATATTTATAGGTTACGGTAAATATTTAACATCATACATTTATTCAAAAATTTCAACTATTAATGTATTTACAAATTCGATCTTAGAAAACATAATTACACAGTAGTTTTATAATTTGTTCAAATAAATGTAATATAAAAAGTCTACATAGATAATTTCTCTAGTTAATGGGCAAAATTGGATAAAATAACGCATATAGTTACTTTTGGAAATCGAGTTTATTAAATATGGTGAATTCACGTTTTATGTAAAATTAAATTTCAACGTACATCACTGTAAATTATGTTATTATTGATTTTACGACACTTTAAGTTCCAACTAAAAAAATTTCGTTAAATTTCTGTGAAGTAGTTATTGATTTACTAAAAGTCACTTTTATGCGGTTTTATACAAAATTATAATGACATTTATAATCTACGATATTTATAATCTTTCGTATTCTATATATTGAGTTATAATACAAAAATATCTTATATTTTATTAAAATGTTATTTTTTATGATAGTCTATTTAAATTTTAAATTTTAATAAAAGAAACAAATACTACAAATGATTACAACTACACTATACAGTTGGAAATTCAGTTTTAATTTACCTTATTATTCGATATGTAATTTGAAATTTATTATGAGCTAGTTTGAATATAAGGATATTGACTGAACATAAAAAGAAATTTAATATTTAATAGTTAATACTTAAAAACGATTTTGAATTATATGAATATATTTAGATATATTTTATAGAGAATTATTAACTATTGTTAATATTTGGTATTTTTTTGATAGATAATTGTATACTATTCTTTTATTTTATTTTTTAAATTCCAATCCTTAACTATTTTATTTTCATGAAAGTAGAAATGATAATTTTTCTGAATATTTTCATGCTGTAGGTATTTAATTTTTCTTTTATAATAAATAATAATTATTTATGTAAGCTTAGACTAGATTAGTAAATAAGTAATATTGAAAAATACACAAAAATCAAATTATAATATATTAACGTAGTCAAAAATGTGATGATTATTTATTTGATTGATTGTATAACTATGCATGTGATAATGGTGTAACGATGATTTTGAGCATTTAAAATTATAATTAATTTGAAAAACAAATAAATATTAAAATTTCAAAGAATAATTTGAAAAAAATGAATGATTATATTAATTTAATTTATCTATAAAGTATTGAACTCTAAGTATTTATTTTGTTTTTTCATTGACATCATTATAATTTCAGTTTTTCATAAATAAAAATGTATTAAAAACAGAGCTCTTTTTCTCTCAAATAATATTAATAATAAATAAAAAATATCACATTTATGGTTATTAAACATTTATATTAATCAGTTATTGAATTAAATTATTG